AGGGTGTATGCTCCCAGGGTCGTCGCGGTGGGATAGCCGAGGCGAAAGTGAGTCCCCGGGTGTATGCCACCAAGTTGCCTGGTCCACTGCATCTGCACCCTCAGCCACACCCACTAAATAAATCTCCCTGCTCGGGTTTGTGTGCCTGAAAACCTGCTTGCGTGTTTGGGAGGCAAGTATGCAAAGAAAAGCATCGGGCCTCCTTGTGTGGCAGTGGTGTGGAGAAGTTGTTGGTGGTGTGGATGATATCATTTGTGCCTTGTGACATCGTTTGACGTGGGTGACACAAAAAAGACCCCTTTTGTGACCATTACCTTGGCCTTCTGGAAAATTGTGCAACGACGAAGATGGGACTCCACTGTGTAGTGGAAGCTGCTGTGACTGCGGCATCTGGGTCTGATGTGAAGGCGGCGATGATGGTCGCCAGGCATCAGGCGCTAGGACGAGGGGCGACTGCTGTACGGCGCCATTGTCGAGTAGTGGCACAGCAGCTTGATGGTTGTGCTGTCAATGTGATGCTCGGGCACTCCCATCCGCAGCAGCTAACACGAGTCAGAGCTAACCCTGTCCGGAGTGCTGGCCTCAAAAGCACACTGGCAGGCTGGCTGCAGCAGGGAGACGGGAAGACGGAGAAGACGACAGCGAAGAAGAAGAAAAAGGAGCCGTGTCACAACAATGCCGGGCGGCAAGAGATCTGCCGATGTTTTGATACACCTGCCAGTGGCCATGCAGTTGGTGTGGCGGCATTTTACAGGACATCTGTGACAACCGCATCGTGCCACTCGTCCACGGTCAGGCTGAGATTGAGGTCCAGGTCCGTCAATCGTAACACGAACAACAAACGAGCTTGGCATCGAAGTCTTTCTCCGATGGTCAGTAGAGAAGGGGGGAGGTCACGCGAAGACCGGTGTGCTGTGAGAGCCGCGAGCAGCGGTACTCGGCCCGCCAATGTTGTAAGGGACCCAATTAAAGTTATAATAAATGGTGCTTCGACGGACCTGGGTCTTGAGGCTGTTCGGGCAATCTCGCATGCCAGGGGTATGGAAATTGTGGGGGCCATAGACTCGAAGAACACAGGGTGTGATGTCGGAGAGCTGGCTGGCCTGGATGAACCTCTCGAGATTCCAATCATACAGGACCTGGTGATGGTTCTTGGCTCTGCAACACAGCAGGCGAGGTCTGACGCCAGTGTGGTTCTTGTTGATCTAGCTATCGCAGCCAAGATGTATGAGAATGTGAGGCAGGCAACGGCTTTCGGGGTGAGGAGTGTAGTTGGGATTCCTGGCGTCGATATGGGTAAGGTCGCAGCACTATCGGAGTTCTGTGAAAAGGCGAGCATGGGCTGCATCATTGCTCCTGATCTTTCGATCGGAGCAGCAGTGCTTCGCCAGCTCACAGCCACGGCTGCCTTCCACTATGGCAGTGTGGATGTGATCGAGACAAGAGGAGATGGCTGGGGTGAAGCAGAGAAGAGAGAGGATGAGGCTGATGGGAGCAGTGGTTTGCCTGGATGGGAGGCTATGGAGCTCGCACAGAGCATGTCGGGACTAGGACGGATCTTCAACAAGGGGGATATGTCAACGGAGAGCCCTGCTCGGGGAGTGTTGGTCGGCGATGGTGTCCGTGTTCATAGCCTTAGGGTTCCAGGAGCACCCGTCCGTCGGCATGAAGTGAGATTTGGCTCATCCGGGGAGTTGCTGACGCTGACCCACGATGTGCTAGACGCTAAGGCATACATGCCTGGATTGCTTCTAGCTGTGCGACGTGTGGTACGCCTCAGGTCGCTGGTGTATGGACTTGAGAAAATTCTCTGATCATGCTTCCTCAACTCTCTTGCCTGCCTCCTATTATTCCCTTTCTGATTCGATTAATATTTCGGTTCTTAATTTCTTTTTGTCTGTGTGTGCGTTTGTGTGTTCGTACGTGTAGGGGTGTGTGTTCACATGTGTGTGTGTGTGTGTGTGTGTGTGTGTGTGTGTGTGTGTGTGTGTGTGTGTGTGTGTGTGTGTGTGTGTGTGTGCAATTAATTGCAGTGCTACAAGCGGGCTGTATACTAATTTTGTCCCTATCGTCGTTGTCAGGACTTGATCCCGCAACCTTTGTTTGCTGTATTGCCTGTTTATTTGCTGTTTGTGTGTTTTGAACCTTGCGGGACTTGATCCCGTGACCTGTAACCTGTGTGTTTTGTTTGTGAGTGTTGTGCCCTATGGGGCTTCACTAGTAGTCTCTGTTTGGTAGTCCTAGGCCATTCAGCCTTTTTCTTTTGCCTTGTCATAGGTCTAGGCCCCCTTTTCCCCTGTTTCCACCTAGATACAGATGGGTCTTGGGTTGTTGCTTTGGGGAGGCGGTCGTAGGTCTAGGCGGAGGGTAGAAGTAGTGGGCAGGAAAATTAAGTCGGGTCTTTTCTCGTTGCTTTTGTTGGGAAACTGTGCTCGTTTGTTATCGAAGCGTTGCTGCGTTATTTCGGGCAAGGGCATCTTCTTCCTCGAAGCCCAGCCATCGCTGGGGCTGGGACATGAAGTTGGAGATCGCACTACTGCTCAGGACTGTGCTGTTGGGTTTGGGCGCTGCCTTCCTACACTTTGCAGCCATATCTGCTGTTCCTCCTCATGAGGAACTTCGTTTTTCTCTTCTTCGAAGTGCTGGATCGGTTGTCTCCTTCTTCACCAGGACTTCCAGCACTGCACTTCCGTGCAGGCACTGAGCTGGCGCTGCTATCATTGTGGTTGCTGGTTCAGATTGGCACGTTGTGACAGCTGTGGGGTTACTGCTGCCATGGCAGCCATAGCCAGGGGTATGAGGTGGCGAGGAGGAAGAAGAAGACTCCTGCAGACTTCGTTGATCACTTGTTTTTGGTTGCTCGGGGTGGTTGTAAGCGCGGTTGTGATTCTTGGAACAAGTACTCTGGATTGATTGGAGGAGGACGAGGGATTGCAGAATTGAAATTCGTTTTTTAATTCTGTGTGTATTTTGAGCTTCCGCTGTGCATATCTTCTCTCCGGTTTTGTGTGGATTTGCCTCCTTCGAGTCTACTCTGCAATTGCATGCGTGTATGGGAACGTGTGAATTCGTTGTGGATGGAATTTCAATCAGGTACATAACATATGTGTGTGTGTGTGTGTGTGTGTGTGAGAGAGAGAG